TCTTTTAGCTTTGCTTTTGGTCTCAGCCAACTTCTGATTTCACTTATCTCATTTTCCTCTAGGCGTTAAATGCTTTTTGAAGTTTCCATATTGGTGTAGGTTCATATTTGTTGATATTTGTTGTTGCATTACTCAAAATGTATCTCTTTTCCATCTTATCCTTGTTAGATTCTTAAGGAAAACATTTTTTTAGCAGAAGGTATATGGTTGCTGGACAGCCTTTTCTCAGACAACATGCACACGCACACACACACACACACCCCCGCTGTTCCCAGTCCGGCCTCCCTGTGAATGAGGACTGCGGAACAGAGGTTGGCAGCAGTCTGCAGGGCTACGGATGCTTATCAGAAAGGCTTACAAATCCCCCCTGATGCTCCTGATATGGAGGACAATGGGTATGCGTGCGTAGTGGGAGCTTTCTTTAAAGCCTCATTGAAACTGACTTCACTACTCTGCTCTTTAATGAGGTCAGAATAGCCTGCTGGCTGTATTTCATCACTGAATACAGACCATACTGTCATAATAAACTTCAGTGGGGTGACCGGTACAAGTCAACAATATCTTTTTCCCAAGCAAACATACTGTACCAGGTTATGACAGTACTTCAATCACTGGGCATGACATCAAAATAATTACTTTCACTTTTCTCTCTCAGCTCAATTAAAGTATATTATCACAATCTGACAATCAAAACATCATTAATGTGTATGCTTTAATGTATATTTATATCTATGTTTCTTCTTTTTGTGATTCTGTCGTTGTATTGAACTTGGGGTTAATTGCCCTGGTGGGAGCAGCTGTGGGGCCACCAGAGTTGCAGGTGAGCTTTCAGCGGATTTCAGTAAACACATGAGCCTCCCACACAGCTTTGTGCTGTTTCTAAAGGATGTGCCTGAATTGAGATTGAATAAGGCTCAAACGACAATGAAACAACAAGGCTTCTGCAGCTGATGTTATTGTTCAGAGTATCAGGAAAAGCATTGTATTAATAATATGGTAATAAAAAACAACAACAACCCCATTGCACCTTAACTTGGTCAGATTGTTCAAAATGACTTTGAATAACAGAAACTGGCATAAGATTCAAATATAAACTAAATCATGAATATAGTTTTTAGTGTTCTTCGTTATTCAGAGGGTGTTTCCTCTGTGGAACTGGATATTGGGTTTAACCTATTTTTTGGTTTTGGGTGGAAGCAGAAGACAGTAGATGTGGTTTACCAACTGTCTGCAGCTCTGGTTTCATATTTAGGTGTCTGGGGCGGAGCACTGCAAGAAGCACAAGGAGGTGCCCTTGTAATATGGTTTCATGTGGTTAATGGTTAATGGTTTATTATACGTTTACACTGTGTATTGTGGTTTAAAGGTTGGTATTATTTTATAGGGTGTATTATTAGTAATTAGTTACACTACTAGTTACTTGGAAAAGTAATTTTATTACTGTAATATTATTACTAGTAATGAGTTACTGCCCAACACTGGTTATAGATACTGTACAGGAATGATATGGTAGTGGAAGTTATAGACACAGACCTACATGGCATATAAAAACTAAGTAACTGTTACTAAACATGTGCACAGCATATAAGCAGGTAGTGTCAAAATGTACAATTTGTCAAGTTTGTCTGTACTATAGAATATTATATCATTTTTCTTACATGCCACTCTCCTAACAAGTTAATCATGATAATAACAATAGCAAAAAGAATATGTTCCATACTTATACTGCAGTGAATTTCAAGTGATATACAGGTATAGACTTGCATGCTATAAAATACAGTTTAATGCTGAATGTTGCTTGACATTTTTTTTTATGTTTTATTATTTATTATGTGCATGTTTTAAAAAGCTTTGGGATTTTATGTAAAATGGACTTTACTTTTGCCTGTAATAAACAACATCTTTCATGTTTTCTTACATGATAGCCATTCTAAGTTCAAACATTGGATGACAGCTCTGTAGATAGCAGAGTATTGTCCTATACTTAAAGTGCATGCCATCTTACGGGCATGTATAGACCTGCATGCCATGTAAAAAAAAACTTGCATGAAGTAACAAACATGATGTTCAGAGATGTGCAAATGTTGTATTATGTATTATTTATGGCGCGTCTTAAGCAGGAAATTCCGTGCACTCCTTTTTTTTCTTTTGGCCGAAACTCTCCGGGCTCCTGGCTGTTTACTGAACGCCTGAGGCGATGCCATGTCAATACGCATAGCTGTTAGGGCCAGCCTCGGAGGCGTAGCTCTTCTGAGTATCAGCAAGTGCAGAACAAGGAACAGGCTCAGATTCATTCAAGGAGGCGGAGGGTATCGCACACAAGTTTCCCACATAGGAGTCCTTCAGCGCCAAAACCAGGCGAAAACAAATCTGTTCTTTAAACGAAGAGACTTTAGCGAGGGAGGAGGAATCGAAAAACAGGTAAGCTGCTTTAAAAAGCTTGTATGTGCCAGGAGGAGTGAGCGCACAGGTAGTTTCGGTTGTATGTCGGCTTTCTAACAACACTTAAAGCCCTATAGATGCTCGATCAGTGCGTATATTAAAATATACTTAGTCCTAATTAGTTTAAGGGCATTTAACGACTTTATTAACTTGTATTATTACAGATACCAAACTGGGATAAAATCAGATTCTCAATACTGTTACTGAAACAGAGTAAGAAAGTTATTTTAGAAACAACAACAACCTATTTTTTTTTAATTTTGTTTTACTTCTCCATCTTCCCAGCGTGTGTCTGTGCTGTTTATTTGCCTCCTCGTTCAAACACGGAGTCAGGCTACTGTATACCGAGCTGACATCTGATAAGAGCAGTTTGTTTCCAGCCTGATATCAATCAACAATGGCATTGTATGTGTTTGCCGTCAACAGCAGTCCGGGATCTTTCGCTGGATTCGCTACCATTGTGCGTAATGACGCACAAGGTAACACTTTGACTGGTAATCTACGCGAAAACCGTAACACCGCTCTTAAAGAGTAGAGATTTTATCCCAGACTGAAAGCATGTAAATAGAGACTGACAGGAGAAACTTCTGACAAACATGCTGCACCTGCAGTATTCTTCTCGGCAGCATTAGCACATGAAAATGGTCTTCAATCGCTTTTATTATGTGTGTATTGAGTAACAAAAGACGTTTTCAGCTATTTGTAACTGTATGCTCCCGGGTTGAAAAGAGGCGAAACGGAGAGTGAGAGAGGGAGAGAGGGGTAGAGAGAGATACAGAGAGTAGGGGGAGAAAGGGGGAGAGATACACAGATACAGAGAGAAAGAGGGAAAGATACACAGATACAGAGAGAGAGAGAGAGTGAGAGATGGGTTGCATGCGCTGTCTCTGTTATCTGGTGGTCTGGGTGTTAAAGGTTAATTAGCTTGAAGCCTGTGGGGCTACCTGGCACCTTCTACTATTTTCCATATAATATAAGGGAATTAGACAAAGACCATTGTGAGGGATTATCTCAGCATAGAAAATCCCTCTATTAGAATGAACAGCACTCCCTAGTGTCTCAAAATAATTGAAACTATAATGAAACGGCAGGTTTCTGACACCGCTTGAAGTTATTTTATCACAGGCAGTGGTGGAAGTATTTAGACCCACTGCTAATTAGACGCTATAGCAAATATATATTTTATTAAAGAATCCATTACAGGTAAGAACCCTGCATTAAGAATTATTAAAAGTACAAATAGAATTAGTCAAAGTTATATTTCTCAAAGGCCTATGTTAGGAAGGGCAACATTTTCTCTCACATCTATCTGTTAATAGATAAAATAACAGGATGGGAATGTTTGTTTTGGCTAATTCAGTGAATTTACTATCTGCAAAATCAAAGTACTTCATCACAGTGATACAAAAATCTTATATTTCTAGGAAGTTTAACTCAGTAATTTTCCTTCAAAATCCTAGATCACACAACACCATGTTATATTTTTATTGTTTAGATTATTTCATTATTATAACTGTTGCATTAGCATGTAAATAATATTTTGATGTTGCAGCTGGTCAAGGTGGAGCTTATTTTAACTACTTTGCTTACTGTGTTTTAATCTTTAACAATTTACCCTATTTTACATGCTGATCATATTTTTTGTATATAAAAAAATATGCAGCTGCAACGTAACCGGTAATTGTAGCCATCAAATAGGTGTTGTGGATTCAAAAGTATTTGCTGCTGAAATGTGATGCAATACAAGTATAAAGTAGTTGAAATGGAAATACACAAGTAAACAGATGAGAGATAACAAGGGCAGACCTGACACACACTAGACAGTTGCACATCCTAATATGTTCCAGGTGTCCTGGTATATACTTATATTCACTTCGCTTTTTTTCTTTCATCATCCTTTGTGACTTTGTGCCAATTATCCTGCATGCAGTACAAGTCTCCTACTCAGACAGATGTCTGACACGGTCACATTTCACTGCTTTCCGGCGTGCTGTGTCACCCAGTGGTCAGTGACCCTCGTTTTAACCTTTGTCGGACCATTTTGCAGGCGTCAAGCCTCCCGCTGATCTCGGCACACAAGTCATTCTGTGGGCGTACAAGTCAGTCAGGGGCACCAGCAGGGTTAAGCCACTCGTGTTCTGGTTTTGATCTGTTACCTTTCACCTCTGATCTTTCACTCTGCGGCAGACTGCCAGTTAGTGAGCAGAGAGAGACATCACAGCAAAAAACTTTGAGTGTGAAAATCTCAGTGGCCTTTTAGGCTCATGCCAAACTGCTCTAAACAACTGCCTCTGTGATCTTACATATTGCTGCAGTCACCTTACTCATAGCGTTAATGTACCCTGCATTTAAAATTGTGTGCATATGTTTCTGTGTTATAAGATTCAGATGTTAAATGACGTATTTGAGGTTATGAGCAGCCTGTTCTTTGATCATCTGGGTGGTGACAGCTCCTCTCTCACCCTCTCCTTCAAGAGCAGAAGAGAAACATGGGATTTTTTACTATAACAAGCATGGTTAAGGAAAAACATTCTTAAAAATGGCATCAGGTTTCCCACCCTGTCCAACGCTTTATCTTGGAATGCCCGGAACGCTCCGGAAATACACCCTGTTTGGATTTCTCGATCCCACTTCCTTGTGTCTAATCTGTGCTCTGTGCTAGTGGAGCTAATGTAAACATTTATTGTACTGCCCCCTGACTGCACATCAATCACAGAGAACTCCTGCATTTGTTACATGGCAACAGAGAGCCTCTATTAACTCATGAAAGCAGTGTTTTAACAAGTTAACCACATTAAGATTCTTCAGGATCTGGTGGCATACCACAAATGGCTTTATGTTTTATTAGCTCGTGCAGTTTGGGTCCACATGGGAAAAATAAGCCATGCTTTATGTTACAGAAAATTGCTCCTTAAATATGATACCAAAAGGTTAAATGACAAAGCCCTTTGCATGTAGCAAATAAATGTATGCTTCAAGAAATGATGAATTGGTGTCTTGTTTTTGCAGGATCCATCCCAGTCAGAAGTTGCGTGTGCTACCTCTCCCAGTGCTGAAAAATGAGTCTGAGCACCAGTGACCTGGAGGACCTGTTGGAGTGGTTTGGGGACCCCAACGTCTCAGAAACCTTAACTAACATATCGAGTGTGGACACAATGATGTGTGTCACGGCTTTCAATCGCAACGCTCTGCTCTACTCCATGTGTGTCCTCTACACTTTTATCTTCATCGTGGGTCTGGCTGCTAACGCTCTGGTCCTCTGGGTAAACATCCGTGCTCAAAGAGACTCCACCCCTCGCCATGAGACGCACATGTACATTGCCCACCTGGCAGTTGCAGACCTATGTGTGTGCGCCACCCTACCTGTGTGGGTGAGCTCCCTGGCCCAGCATGGTCACTGGCCCTTCGGCGAGGTGGCGTGTAAACTCACGCACCTGCTGTTCTCCGTCAACCTCTTTGGCAGCATCTTCTTCCTGGCCTGCATGAGTGTGGACCGTTACCTGAGCGTTGCGAAGCATGGAGACAATGAGGGAGGCGCGCGGCTGAAGCTAATCCGCCGTGGAGCGTGTGTAGGGGTGTGGCTTCTGGCTCTGGTCGCTTCCCTACCAGACACCTACTTCCTGCGTACTGTGAAGTCAACACATGGGGACGCAATGCTCTGCAGGCCAGTATACCCAGAGGGGAACCCCAGAGAGTGGATGGTGGGCGTGCAGCTGAGCTTCATCCTGCTGGGCTTTGTTCTCCCCTTCCCCGTCATTGCAGTGTTTTACGCCCTGCTAGCCAGAGCTTTCACCCGCTCCTCCGCTTCTTCTTCAGCGTCCTCCGCAGTGGAGCAGGAGCGTCGAGTGAGCCGCAGGGTAATCCTGGCCTACATTGTGGTGTTTCTGGGCTGCTGGGGGCCCTATCACAGTGTCCTCCTGGCTGACTCCCTGTCTCAGCTGGGCTTAGTTCCTCTGACCTGCGGCCTGGAGAACGTGCTCTTTGTGGCCTTACACCTCACCCAGTGCCTGTCCTTGCTACACTGCTGTTTCAACCCCATCCTCTACAACTTCATCAACAGAAACTACCGCTATGACCTCATGAAAGCCTTCATCTTTAAATACTCCACGAGGACGGGCTTGGCACGCCTCATCGAGGCTTCTAACATGTCTGAGACCGAGTACTCTGCTGTAGCTGTAGAAAACCCACCACAGATCTGAAACTTGCAATACACAATTAGCATTTCTTGAACACTGTTTCTAAATATAAAAGGCTATAATGCAATGTAAACTTATGTTACAGCTGATTTGTTCTTTGTTACTATCAGCATTATGTTTGACATTTTTGCCAATCCAATCCTTTTTACAGAAATCTGCTTAAGTCATGTAGAAAAGCTTGAAGACGGGCTAAAATAAACTTTGATGGACTGATTTAAAAGCACTTAGAAAGCAGTTTTTATATAGCAATTGATACTGAAATCATATGGACATCGTCACTCATTTGTAAAGTCAAAACAGTGACCATAAATGTGTAAAATCTTTGCCTGTACTGCGTATGTAGGATTGTATTGTGTGTATGTGTGTGTGTGTGTGTGTGTGTTTGTGAGTGTGATGTGCATAATCTGACAGGCATTGAATATAGATAGTATCAGCAGAGTAATATTGTTAATCTTTTTGTATCAAGTTGTATTTATAGACTGTACATTTGAACTGTTTAGCCTCTTTCACGTTGTAATTCAGAGTCTTCACACGCTGACGTCTGCTCAGTGCTCCACTTCATGCAATGCTGCCTCATCATGTTAGTCGAGCCACTGACTGTGCTCAGTGTGTTAGTCCTGCTGTCTCATTGTTAATCATAACCTCATGTCACATCAGTTGAATCCTTCAGACAAATTATGTAAACCAATTGAGAGTTCTTTCATGCCACTAAGGTTTGTAGATAATCAAAAAAGTGTGTGTTCTGTGTTTCGTAGTTTTGGTAGTACACTTCTTTGCTAAGAGTTAGACAAAAAGATTCACGTCTGTACACTGAATATAAAACTACAGCCAGCTGCTGATACGCTCAGCTTTGTTAAAAGACTGGAAACGGGGGGAAACAGCTAGCCCGGCTCTGTCTAAAGGTAAAACAAATCCACTACTAGCACCCCCAAAGCTCACATTTACACAATATATCTTGTTTATTTAATCTGTACAAAAACCAAAGTGAAAAAAATGAACGGTTGTGGTTTGACAGTTGATTATGTACTTCCTGTCGTCTTTCAGTCTTTGTGCTAAGCTAAGCCAAGCTAAACTAATCACATGGTGTCTTTAACTTCATATTTGACATGAGAGTGGTACTCTATCGACCTTCTCATCTAACTCTGCAAGAAAAAAAGTAAGCGTATTTCCCAAACTGTCGAACTTCTCTTTTAAAGAAAGCTGATGTGTTATTGAGGAGTAATTTTCTTTAGGCTCTAAATATTGTATAAAAACATTGTCTGGAGGCTTCAACTGAGACTACTGAGCTTAAAGAGCAGATAGATGTAGCTGCTGTCTCTTCTGAAAAGTACAGTATTATGTAATATACTGTTACTACAATATATTTTGTATCAGTGCGAATAGCGGAAAGGATGCACATGTCCATGTGGTATTAATCCTGTTGTGTCAGCACACAGGCCACAGACGGCTAAAACTTTTAAGACCAAATAACATGAATGAATAGTTTTACTAGTTTCATGTAGGCAGCAGCTGTGGCATGCAACAACCAAGTGTTTATTAGGGACCAAATAACAAAAGACATCACTACATTACTTTAGAGTTGTGTGTATGTCTGTTCCACAGCTTGACACCAAGAGATGATGTTTTATGTGTCACAAACATTGAGTTATACAGTTTACTCACTGTCTGTTGTAGGAAACAACATATTCTTTTGATATGCTGACATAGAGCACATTGTGTCATGTGATTGGTTACACATGTATGCTTCTACACTGAAGATTTCACGTTGCGAATAGAAAAGACTGGAGACACGAACATGTGTCCACAAGAACAGAGGCATTCCTTTGGTATTGTAATGTGTAACATGTGTTTTGTTATATATTAAATACAGAGAAAATGTTTTGCCTCAGTGATTTCTTTGGTCCATGTCAAAATAATCTCACAACTTAATAACCTCAATGCCCCGAGCTGACTAAAATAATGTGTTTTAACTGAGAAACTCTGATGAAAAATGTTGCAGAAATGCTTTTACTGCTCCATTTGAGACATTGAATTCATACCCAATAAACTCATCCAGACTCAGCTAAAACATAACATCACTTTGTGTGGTTTATCCCAGCTGTCAGGTGACCTAATGTACTGTTCAGTTATGGAACATGGGCTAGGCCCGACACATTTTTCAATTATAGATACACCAACTTTCTTTCAAACACCAAAATAAGAAAGAGATGTTCCTTCCCATTGAAATTGGGCCCCTCATCCACACCCACTCCAGCACCATCACCACCAGCCTAGCATTAGCTCTAATACCAACACTGACACTTTCAAGTAAGCTCTTGGTCATTAGGTTTTAGTTCAATTCAATTCAATTTTATTTATTTGTATGGCAATCAAACAGAAGTTATTCTCAGGAACTTTCAACTAGGCAGGTCTAGACCGAACTCCATTAACCATTTACAGAGACCAACAGTACACCATGAGCAAGACTGGCGACGGGGCAAGGAAAATCTTCCTTTACAGGCAGACCTAGACAGACCCTTTTTAGGTGGGTGGTATTCTGCTTGACCAGTTGGGAGAGAGAGAGAGAGGATGAGTGAGGAGGGAGAGAGAGAGGAGAGAGAGAGAGAGAGAGCTGTTTTGGCAGGTTGGTATTAAGATAGCCTCACAAGGGCAGAGCATCAGTGTTTTTTAAAATGCCAAAAAACAAAAAACTTAAAACACTAATGTTACTTCAATTTAATCAATCCAATATAGTTTAATTTATTGTCATTATACCAGTCCAGTATGACAAAAAGTCCTATTCACCAGTTTTTCATGTGTAACATAATAACATAGTGTAGACACTAACACAGTAAGAGAAACTGCATATCTCACTGTCCAAGTGCTTTGATGGCACCATTGTCACAATAGCAGCGGGGGGTGGGGTATCGGGTGACAAGTTGAAATCTATTTTAATGGTAAAAATAAATATATTCATTATGTAAATACATAATAATAATACAAATTGTATTATCAGTGATATAGGTCAGTATGTAAATTGCTGTACTTAATCCCATTCAAGGGTCAACCGCAGACCTTTGCATGGGCCCCCCACTGGGCCTTTGGCCAGGGTCATCAGTACCCTTTGACCCCCCTGATGGTGAGCCTGCTCCTGCCAATCCACATCCTAACTTTTTTCTTGCATCCAGTACAAAGTTAGTTAGATTCATCATGTGTTTCCTCATTTCATGAGACAATAATTAATCACTCCATCAAAAGTACAACATACAGGTGCATGGTAATACCTGTCTGTCAGCGTCACCTCCAGCTGTGCTACTGCAGAATTGTTCCATGGGAACAACAATTCATCAGCGTTTTCCTTTAACCTTTGCTTGACCTACTCCGGTGTGGGAGGGAGATTATCCTGACACTGATATCCTCAGGATACGTGACAACCCTCCAGTTTGCCTCCTTGCAATCAGCTGCCATTTGTGACTACTTTGGCCTCCTCAGACAGCCCCCTCCTCCCTCCTTCCAGGGGCCGATGAGCTCAATAAGTAAGACCATCTTGGCGGCCAAGGACCACAACATTATGTTTGGGCGGAGGGATGTGGTGATCTCCCTGGGGATCTCCCTGCCAAGGTTAACCGTCATTTTTGCTGGAGGAGAATAGTGTTGATGCAGCTCCTTCCAGTGTTCCCTCCTATCCTGAGGAAATGGATAATATTTTTTCTGAAGAGCCACTGTTGTTTATCTCCTCCCTATAAAAATACCTACCTATAGAAATACCAACAATAAAACTTTTTCAGTTTTCCTTGTTTATAGGCCTCTTCTTTCTAACACCATTTTGAATATGCACATTTGTCATGTTTCTTTATTTTTTTGCCTACAGATTTCAAGTATCTTGGACACCTTTTTTCAGTATTCAAGGTTTTTCACTGGCAAGAGAAGGGCAGCTCTGGTGCAGGCAGGCCAGGGAGTTGTAGATTACTCTGATGAGGAAGCTGTGCAGGGATTTCCAAAAGGTCAAACCAGCTGAGTGATCTGCTGATGATCATCATCCCAGCTTCTTTCTTCCCTGTGACACTGCCTTGATCTTCCAGCACTCCCGGTGTGTGATGGTCACCTCTGCCACAACCATATCCTCCTTCTCCTTTATTGTGTGAATGATTTTCCCCTCAGAAGACTAACTCATCTGACCTGAACCCAGTCAATATCTTCCTGATGTTGCAGCCTGCTGACGGCTTGCTCCAGGTCAGTGAACTTCCACCGTATTTAGGAATACGCACCATGTATGCACAATATGAACTGAAATATTAAAGTTATTAAAGGTGCATTTGGAGACAGAACCTCTCTCTACAAGATATGACCTAAAGCTGTCTTTTGTTAGCTACGTAAGTGTCCCAAGAGAGTACTCCTCTGAATTAGCATTGCACTCCTATGTAAGATTAAGGATATTGTCTTTTTATGCTCCACATCCTTCTCTCCCTTGTCAAAGCCTGATGCTTATATTACCCATAATGCAACTTGACTGCCAAAAGTTCAGTCGGATACTATGTGTTGTGCTAGTCGCAGTTAATGTAGTTTCGATCTTTAAGTAGAGATGAGGAATGGGCGAGTTGGTCTGGCAAGCTCATTTCTTTCTAACTGCATTTTCAAACTTGTTGCCTTCAGCTCCAACCAACACTGCCTTAAGTGACATCCCTTGAGACAATCTATCAGCTTTCATTTAGCTCTCTCTGAAGCCACAAAAGGCTTTATACAACTTTTTTCATATGCAGTTGTGCTTCCCAAGACCTGTAAACATACTTTGATATGTAAAATCGAAGGAGGTGCCTTTTAAAACCCATCCCATCCCATTTATATTCATCAACATGTAAACATACCACAAACTAAATGCCACACAGTGAACCTTACTTAATTGCTTTTTCCCAGTCAGTAATTCAACCTTAAACAGAGATGCTGTAGTTTATTTTTTTCTTTATGCTATAGGCTAAAAACATCCTCTGAAACTAAAGGATATTGATCTTCCTAGCTTGCTCAAATGCCAGACACACACACACACAGAGAGAGACTCATACCACACACATTTACATAGAAGTTTTAATTATAATTCCAGATGAGGCGCTGTACTCATGTATATCAGACCAAATCCCATTAGTCAAAACTACCCATATAGTAGATGTTCAGGTGCTGCAGTCGTGTCTGAATACACTCAGAGTGTAACACACACTTCTGTTCTTCCATGACTGAACAGCCCATGTTTTACTTGGCATGGACATATGCTGTGAAGTGTTTTGCTTCCTTTTACAGTTTGCCACTTATGATTCTCCTCTGTTCCCATTATAAGCTGCTTATACAGAATGTGTCAGACACTACAGAGATAGTCTTCTCCGTAAACCAAAACACTGTGTGTTAAATGTAAAACTGGTTACAAAGGAGCAAACTCTGAAAGCTTCTGCTCATAGCACTTTACTTCTAAGGCATAGTCTCACTGTCTGCAGGTTTCTGTTGTCACTCTCTGGAATGCAGACCGTAATTCAAATCTGTCCAAAGGAAAGATTTACAGCTAAAAGCTCAGTGGATTATGAAATCATCCAATGTCCAGCTCAGTTCTTACCATTCTTAAACGTGGTTCGTGTATGGGTTACAGTACTTTCTTAATGGGGCTATCTGTCTTAGTTTGATTTAAAAAGCATAGGAAATGGGCCAGCGATGAAGTCAATTAAGGGAGTGTTTCTTTACAGCACGATGATAGTCTATACCTTATGCTGAGGAAAGATAACATAAATGAATGATGAAATAGGGAATATGTGCAGCGGTGGAGATTAATTTAGATCTGCATTTTTTTAATGTTCTCTCCAGTACGAGCACACTTTAAAAATGTACTAAGCACATTCATATTGCATAGTAGGCCACATTTACCAAGACACTGCATGCATGTGTAGTTATTAATGTGACTTACATTATTTCTGGCCTATTTCCAAGCATTTAGAAGTTGAACTCCCAATCAAGTCAGTGCTTGCTTCGCTCGGTCTGGCAGGAATCCCACATGAGGACTTATGGAATAAAGGGTCTTGAATTATTAATGAAGTAGAAGGAGAAAGTAGCAGCTGCTTGTGCTCACAGGGAGTTTTTGGTGTGAATGTAAAGAAAGTCAGGGGATAGGGTTAGTTTGGCACTCTTTGACTCCACTCCCATCAGGAGAGGAGGACAAGTGCTATTGCCAGATGTTGGACAGATGTTTAGTCAAAGGGGAAAGGCAAAATTAGAGTTAAAAGACCGTCTGACCTGAATTTGGATCAAACAACACCAATGGCACACGTCAGTTTGCAGAGTTACAAGGCTTATTTAACCTTCAGGTGCAGGCCTGATAACATTAACTTGAGGGCAGATTCTTTGTGAGAACTGGAATCAAGAGAAACTCAGGTCTAATCAACACTTGAATTTATGTAGCTGTGTTCAGGACTAATGATGATACTGTAAGGGTATTTGAGAGCCAATGGCCCATGCACACTATATGTTCTGTTTCAGAGAAAAAGAAACAGAGCGGAAAGTCCAGCAGCTGAGAGACCCAACAGGGTATATAAAAAATGGTTTTTAAAGGGTTGTGTCAACCAAATTTTATAATTTACTTTTATTGGTATCTCACTATACAGACTTTTTGTCTTATTTTGAGATATCTGTTTATTTCTTCCTCTACCCTAATACAATGAAAGGGAATCAAATTTGAGTGGGTTCAGTGGATTATCCAATGTAAATGGGGACTCTGGAAATGGATGTTACTGTTGAATTTAAATTCATTTGAAATTTTCGTTGCTGCTCGCCCCACAATCAGAATCACAATAAGGCAGAAACCTCACAGACGGTCAAAACCACGGCAAATAAAATCAAAAATCTTTGTAAGCAAATATGATATT